ACAGATTAATCTGACTGCCAAGTATCATTTCGGTTGCCTAGAAACAACCTTGTCAACAGTATATGCAACTACCCTCAACCTTTTCCACACTAGAAGTAGTCTAGAAGCCTCAATTTCAATAGTTTCTCATTTAGATATGAATTTATTTGTTATCAAACTTTAGTTTTACTTATGTCACCGAGTATTTCTTTCGTTTTCATAGGTCAGAGATTAGTATTAGAACTGAAAAGTGCTAAAATTCTAATAGTTTTGGAGTTAATCCCTGGGTGATTAGGACTTTATTTAAGGAGGACGTAGTCTATCGAACGGTTAGCTTCCAGAATGTTGGTCTTGATGTATAACATGACTATTGTACAGCATTTTCTCATCCACCAACTACAAAGAAGTACTTTATTCAAACTAGCAGCAAAAATATTTTGAAAGCTAAATTAACGGGAACAGTATCGATGACTGTATTGAGCAGTTGACGAAGATCTTCCAGGTTGTATCATGTTGAACTTCTGAAGGTTAAAGCGTCACGAAGTGATTTAAGTACAGCTGGAAATTCACGCATACACAAAATAATAGTAATCGCTGTATTCCAAACACTATTTACATTACAGTATGAAATCCTAAGCATGTAATATTTTGGCACAAATCCACTCCCGGAACAATATTTTTTACAAGGAAATTGCGTCTGAATGATGCTGATAATAACAGTAATAAAATAAGTGTTTGATTAATGTCCGGGCTATACTGGAGTATAAACAGAATAGCGAGCATAAGTTTGTTGGTGGTGGTAGTCATAGTTCATTCAGTTAGTAAAAGAACCTACCATTCGAAATGAGGATCCGAGGAATAGAAATTTGATGTGATTTTGTGAATTCAAAAGTTCACTTCTCTTTAACGTGACATTTTTCCTTCGTTTCGTTATGAGCTGGAAAAATGGCTGGCTAAAAACATTTTTAAAATGTGCAAGAGTACATGATAATTTTGGAGGATATAGTTGAAAGATTAAAACAAACTGAAAAGAAAGAATTAGATGTAATATGTCGGGTGGAAAATTTTTAATGTCATAAAGTTAAAGCAGGCCCACTAGAAGTTCAAGTAAACTATGACAGCTGGTTTAAGGTTAAAAAGACACAACTCAATTACCCTAAGAGAATGGGCAAAATGGTTTAAATACTGTAAACAAATATCAGATGAAGAGAATCATATCTGCATTAGCCATACTAGTTTGTTACTAAAGCATGCCATCTAATTTGATCTAGGGAAATCTGAATATACTATAGGCAGAAATAAATGGTTCAAATACTATTTACATCACTGCGTAAAAGTCCTTTTGAATTACCTGAAGGAATTTAGAAAAAGTTAATGAATTTGGTGTAATGAACTAAATTTTTCTGTTACACAACCGATGGATTTCAAAGTGATGAACTAATTTCTTAAGTAAATAATTTGACTGACAAGACATTCTTATGAGCTGCGTAGGTGACATTTGATACTTTTTACCACTGTGTAGTAGGTCACCTTAGTTTTCGTTATAAACTTCTGTAAGAGAAAGAAAACGGCCTGATTTTTAAACAGATGGTTGTAAGTTTAAAGTCTATTGACAAGAGAGATACGTTTCTATATATCGTGAATTGACCGAAGTAGGAAAATGAGAACCATTAGCCCCCCCCCCCCATTCAGTGGCTGAATGATCTATCGTGCTGGTCACGCGACGTGAAGATCTTCAGTTCGATTCCCAGCAAGGTCATGGATGAGCATTACTGAGAAGTTCCAGGATAGGACGAAACAGCTCTGATGTTTTTCAGTAATTCTCCGCAGATATTAGTTCATAATAAGTACCACTCTGATCAAATCAAACATTTTACAAACCTGATTTCTTTCTCTCTGTTTATTCATCTTAAGTTTGTCTTTCTAGTTCAGCCGATTAACACAGATTTATTTGAACTATCTCTAATCGGTGAAATTTCGTTGTTTGTTACATTATGAGAAACCTTTGAGTGCATAAGCTGTTAACTTATTTTCGTTCATTCATTAAAAACGTGATCTTGAGTACATATGAGGCTCAGCAAATGCTACTTTATATCCTGACAGATGTAATGAAGAGTCCTATTGTTAGGCTCCAGCTAATCATGTACGATATCTGTTTGCTGCTTACCAATCATAACCACAAACGCCTTGTCAATAAATTCAGATCAATCAGGGGATTAACCAAAACCTAGGCTAAACTGTTCTGAGGTTTGTGAAGATTTATTGATTGGTTTTAGGTTGTAACTCATCATGGACTGACACCAGCTGGAGAAACACTGAAAAGTCTGGGAACACTGGACTCCTCAGCAGTGCGCATTCGTGGCCCCGCCAATGGTCGAACCCAGAACCTTCAGGTCCCATGACCGGCACGTTACCATTGAGCTGACAGGTCGGAACGGAATGCTCCATGTTTCCTACTTCTGTCAGTTCCCGGTATAGTGTGACCTCCACACAATGCCGTCACTGAGTAACTGTCCTCATGTTCGACTTGGTTGGCTCCACTGGTCACGACTTCTCATTGGAACTTCGGAAAGCACCTCTCGAAGCTAGTCACTGATGAGCATAAGATTAATTCTATCTGGAGGTTTGTATGGATTTATCGACTTTGAGTTGGTATTTATCATGGACTGATATCATTTGCAGGATGGACCATTGGATTCCAACCCAGTGGCTCAATGGTGACCTGAAGGTCCTGGGTTCGATCCCTGGTAGGGTGATGGGTGCGCACTGCTGAGGAGTTCCATACTGGAACGAAACAGCTGTCCAGTGTTCTTAGGTTTCCAATAGTCCATCCTGCAAATGATATCAGTCCATGATAAATACCAACTCAAAGTCGATAAATCCATACAAACCTCCAGATAGAATTAATCTTATGCTCATCAGTGACTAGCTTCGAGAGGTGCTTTCCGAAGTTCCAATGAGAAGTCGTGACCAGTGGAGCCAACCAAGTCGAACATGAGGACAGTTACTCAGTGACGGCATTGTGTGGAGGTCACACTATACCGGGAACTGACAGAAGTAGGAAACATGGAGCATTCCGTTCCGACCTGTCAGCTCAATGGTAACGTGCCGGTCATGGGACCTGAAGGTTCTGGGTTCGACCATTGGCGGGGCCACGAATGCGCACTGCTGAGGAGTCCAGTGTTCCCAGACTTTTCAGTGTTTCTCCAGCTGGTGTCAGTCCGTGCTGAATTCCAATATAAACGTATTGGAGTTATTTAGCTGATAATCAGGAACAAAACTGTATAACGTTACAAAGCAAAATGAGAATTAGATTTCAGTATCAGTTCACGTGCAAAGATGAAAGTCAACTCCAGATAAATACGGATCAGTCTACGTCTTGAAGTAGTGGAACACTTTTAGGTATGACACTTTACAAATTTGTGCTGTCGCACCATGTTGCATGGGAAGTATTACGATTAGGATTACTTTCACTTATTAATCCCCATGAATATTCTACATTATAAATGATAAAATTAGCGCCAAAACAGTATGTCTACAACTTTCGAACTGTTCTAGACAGAGCAATAGATAAAGATGAAAAAATTGGTTTGCTCTGAACAAGCTTATCATTCAGGGTATGATTTTTCGCATTATTGGAAAAGCTTTTTCAATAATACGAATATTCTTGATAAGTTTACATAGAATGAGCTGAATGACAATAACAGTGAACTTTCTACCGTGATACTTAACGGAATCATTGGCATTAACTTTCAAGGAATAAATATTTACAGCATAAGTAGGTGATATGGCAATCACCTCTCCACCTCAACTTCATCGACTTTGAGAAGGCCTTTGACAGCGTCGACCGAGAGGTAATTTGGAAGCTGCTTCATTACTACGGAGTGCCGCAAACCTTTATCCGCCTCATTCAACAACTATATGAAGATGCCACATGCCAAGTAATCCACAATGGGAAGCTCAGTGATGCCTTTGAAGTGAAGACAGGAGTGAAACAAGGTTGCCTACTATCCCCCATGATATTCCTTATTGTGGTGGACTGGATCATGCAGCAAACAGTAGGCAGCGAGAAGAGGGGGATACACTGGACGACGGAAAAGAACCTAGAAGACTTGGATTTCGCCGATGACTTATGCCTAATGTCACATAAACTTGAAGATCTGCAGGCAAAAACTAACAAGTTGATAGAAGAGGCAGCGAAGACGGGACTTCAGGTGAATATAGAGAAGACAGAAGTGATGAAGATACCGCACCACCACCATCAACAACAACAAACTCCAATCACTGTCAACGGGAGAAACTTAAAGGAAGTAACCTCCTTCACTTATCTAGGAAGCACTGTTTCAACTACAGGCGGGACGGACGAGGACGTCAAAGTCAGAATCGGAAAAGCAAGACAGGCATTCATTAGCCTGAAACCAGTGTGGAGATCTTCTGCACTCAGCATGCGGAACAAGATACGGATTTTCAACACCAACGTCAAGTCAGTGCTCTTGTATGGCTCAGAGACTTGGCGCGTCACGAAAGGTATTTCCAATAAACTACAGACATTCATCAACAACTGCTTGCGCTCGCTGCTGAAGATCAGATGGCCAGAAAAAATAAGCAACAAGGAACTCTGGGAACGAACCAACCAAGAACCTATCACGCAACAAATATGCAGGAAGAAGTGGAGATGGATTGGCCATGCACTGAGAAGGCCGACTGAGGACATCACGCGTCAGGCCCTCGAGTGGAATCCCCATGGGAAGCGACGAGTTGGACGTCCAAGGGTGACATGGAGGAGGTCGTGCGAGCAGGAAATGAGAGCTTCTGGGCTGTCGTGGGACCAGGTTCAAAAGATCTCAGAGAACAGAGGTCACTGGAGGCGTGCTACTGAAGCCCTATGTTCCACTAGGAACCCAAGGGACTAATAATAAATAATAATAATAAGTAGGTGATGACTTACGGAGACGAATTACTTGTCCCATTAGTCCGCTTATTTATGCCTAATTTTTCTTGTTTTCTTTTCATTTCATCAGGTACATGAATTATGCGATAGCTTTTGTGCTCGTTATATCACATGCTTAAAAGGTAAAATGCCAGTGGATTTAGTGTGCGAAGACAGAGAATCAGGTGCTGGTTCAACAGGTTCAGCGACAAGTCCATTTTTAAATCGTTCATCTACACCGAATTTATTCAATGATCCAGCTGGTTCACTAACTGACCTGCAGCATAATACAAATATTCATAATCAGAATAACAGTTCTATGCAAAGTGGGCCTGTGGTATTTTCAGCCAATCCAGTTCATTCAGTCGATCTGCTTCCTCATTCTTTTCCCCTGTCTACTATTAATTCAGTGCCTTATTTGCAAAAGGCATGTTTATTCAACTCTGAATCAATAGGTGTTATACAGTCATCTAATCGTGCAAATTACATTGCTAGCAGCAACATTAACGACTTTCAGTCATATGCGTCCACTGTGGAAAATTCTAAAAATATTCTTTCTGACGAATATGAACATAATCAACCATCAGGTGTAAATAACAACAGTATTAATCTTGAAGCTTCTAAATTGAACATTGGAGTGAATGGATCGATGTCATCATCCTCAACATCTTCAATGGGTTCAACCTCACCTAATACTCAACTGGTAAGCTATTGATAATCATAAGAATTTTTTTAAATTTACAGTTTGATGAAGCGACTGCAGTGTGAAGATAGTTTGCACAAACTAGTTATGTCGTTTGGAAACGTATCCTAGTTAATGTGTCAACATTACATAGAATGGAACATGAGATATATTTGTCAGGTGATAAATATATTATTGTACTTTTGAGGTCATTGGGGATTCTATTTTTAAGGTAGTATTCACCATAGACTGACATTAGTTGAAGAATCATTAAGAACCTGGGAGCACTGGACAGCTGTTTCCTCATCCTCAACAGCATGGACCCACGAGGTCATGGAGCACTTTAACTTTCTATATTTTAATAACCAACTGAATGCAACTTGAGACATTGCTCAACCATCTTTGAGGGTCATCACCCACCGTGTTCATTCCACTCTGAAAATGAATTTACCCCAAACGTGCAAATAATTTCCTTCTTTGATTGCAATCATTACCATAGAACATTTACAGAAATATGGACGGTTATTCTATACACCTTAGGTTCGATGAGAACATCTAAAACCACTTTATCAGAAGCATGAAAAGCGTACCACCACTGAGATTTTAAAGCACGAAGTGTAACTCGTCAGTTACATACTGCTTTCAGTTTCCGACAATATGCATTAACTAGTAAGTCAGGGTTATTGACAACATTTGGTAACCCACATATCAGCTGACTACATGGATTTAGATTCTATGGCCCATTGGTTAAAAGTTTGGTGATCAAGAAATCATAAAAAGTCCTGGACTCTTCAAAGGAAACTCCTTGTTTTTTCCCTGCAAAAACGGTCATTTCTTCAGGTGCCACATTGTATATGCGAATGATAAAAAGACCTGAATATTTTCTCCCATGATGTAAACATTTGTCTAGACTGCAGTCCAGGGTGCACATTTGATTCTATTTGGAGCTCGTCGGCTGGACGTATTGCCTCCCAGTGACTAGTTTCGTCCCCACCATGACTTGAACCTAGAACTAAGGGCTTCAACTGCCAAATCCTTATCCACTAGGCCACTGAGTCACTATAGCCACACCTTGTACGACAGCAACAGTATAACTCATGACGCTACAGCCTGTGGATTTCGGTCAATAACATCAAAAACAATAGTATAGCGATCCCACAAGGAGTCACTACCATGACTCAGTGGCATAGTAGATAGCGCTCTTGCGTTTGCAGTGCTCGGTCCTGAGTTTGACTTATAGTGGGCATAGCACCACATAGTGGGAGGGAATCGCATCCACGGGACTAATCACAAGTAGGACAAAACTCATATCTTGGATTCCATTGTTATCTACTATTAATTTCAAAATTGAAAATGTTGGCAACATAGAAGTATCCACGTTGGGACCTGTATGCTAACAGTGACCGATCACTTCAATCCAATCAGTAATGGAGATTCACAAGCTATGACATCAAAACCATTTAGCTTATTATTGCTTGTATTATACCGTCGTTGATAGGAACGAATTGATTGGTCTCTATTGGAATATGGGCTCCTGCGCGGATGTCTCGACATTACCAGCGTTCTAATTATAGTAGTAATGGATAGTAGCTAGCAGTGGAATCCAGGATGCGCATTTCTTCCTATTTGGGACTCGTCATTACTATAATTAGAACATAGGTAATATCGAGGCATCCGCGCAGGAGCCCATTTTCCAATAGAGACCAATCAATTCGGTTCAATCAACGACGGTATAATACAAGCAGCAATACTAAAACTATACCCGTCGCACAAGAAGTGGCTATTGTGGCTCGGTGGTGTAGTGGTCAACGCTGCGGCACTTGAAGCGATCGGTCCTCAGTCCAAATTCTGGTGGGAACAACATCCTTCACTAGGAGGCAGGTACATCCAGCTGACGAGTTTTAAATAGGACGAAATGCTCATACTTGATTCCACTGCTAGCCACTACACCTCATCACTTAGTTTATTATTTATCCCAGTTGTCAGTGTGATAGGTAACTTTTATTCAGGGGAAAATACTTGTTTTAAATGAACCAACAAAATATCATGAAAAGTTTCCAGAAGAAAAGCCAATAATTCTTCAAAAGATCATAACAACAAGAATGAGGATAGGGAGACACTAAAGTATTTATCCATAATAACAGTTAAATTGTCAATGTGTTTGTGTATGCTTGTATGACGTGACAGCTGACAGATGGGATTAACGACCAATTCTCAACAATTTTGTTTAAATCTAACATAAACAAAACTAAGTAGAATGAACGGTGGATTTCAAAATGAATAAGGTGCAGATATTCTGTCAACCCACTTCACGTAGATTTGCAACTTAATTGTTTAGAAATAAGGAAAATAAAAGAGGGCGAACGAGAAAGGAATATTTATAATCACACTGAATAAATGTCACACTGTAATGAAATTTCAAATAAAAAGTGGACTATAGGTAAGTTTTTTTGAACTGGTGGTTATTACTGTTGGTCTAAGGGGGAATGTTTGTGTGTAGCATGTATGCGTGAAACTATCGCCTTGAAAAGTCTTCAAACAATAAAAAAGCTTTCATAAAAAATCGTTGTTCATCAGGAACTCATTGAAGAAAGAACATTACTGAAAATCCCTGTTCTATTCATCTAGAATTAAGCAGTAATACATTTTCCTCAAGTGATATACCCCTTTTTTCATTAGAAAGTCGCTTATTTCAAAGAGTACTAAGTGTTCCTTAACTATGGGGGGGGGATACTGAAAACAACTTGAGATAAACAGCAGTACAATGTAAGCAGAAAAATATGAAGGAGGTGAGAAGTCTCGACTCAATTCGATAGTGGGATGAATTCAGTGGTCACCTGAAGGGAAGAGAGTTGCAGCTGTGATTCCGTTCAAGATTATTTGAATTTCTTCAGTTATCTGCATTGTGGAGAGTTATAATGAAAGGGTCATCAAACTTACATCCAACTCTTGAATCTATTATTCCTATTCCTAAGGTAGTATTCAACATGGACTGACATAAGTTAGAGGACCAGTGAAAACCGAGGAGCACTGGACAGGTTTTTCATCCTGTTATGGGACTCCTCAGCAGCACGGACACACAAAGTGGTTAAAGATTGCACTCAGGACTTCCAGGTTTCTTGGCAAACATTTTAACCATTCAGTCACTGGGTTGGAGTTCAATGATTCACTGTTTCCTATTTCTGTCAATTCGCAATAAAGCGATGTAGCCCTGTTGTGCGTGCGTACTGTTGTAGCGTCCCATATTAGGACGAAGCAGGTGCCCAGTACTCCCAGGCCCTCAATGATTCTCTCAATTCATCTGGGATACTATCTTATAAATAAAATCCTCACTAACCTCAAATATATTATTCCAATTCTGTTCTGTAGACCAGAAAATTCGAACAGTCGTTTTAATGTGCTTTGCTTCTGTAATTTCACTGAGGACAGCCAGGGATAAACAGGGGAACACTGGATTAGTGCGTGAATAGAAATTTTGGCTAAATTAGGAACTACCTTGGTGATTAAGCATTACTTGACTTTGAATCCGGCAGAAGTGGTTGTTACCATTTCATGGAGGATGTAATCAAATACCGCTCATCAAAATTGTTGAAAAATGATTGAGATGACTCGATGACTGCAAAATGACATCAATAAGATACCAGTGCTGATGATCATAGTACATAAAGCATTTTGTGAAGTAACCATCAACTGTAAATATTCAGACCAAAAAAACCAAAAATAAAATATATGATAATCGTATTGACGTACACTTAACAAGTAATGACCACTTTCTCAGTTCATATCACCTTGCTTTGCACGCAAATATGCATTTATGTATGCCACAGAAACAAGCAAATCTTGTCAGGTATCCAGGCGATGAAGTCAGTCATACAAGCAAAAGTGAATTTTGCTAACTAACCAGATTTTGTATTTCACTCAGATAGTTACACAATGGCCTTTAGCTAGAATTTTACAAAGGTCGACATTTTCTTGCTACCGTCCGGCAAATATTATCTTCGATGCCCCATCTTCCTGTCATCCAACTGTCTGGCCTCTCAAACTCTGACTCATTGCTACTAACATGAGATAAACACACATACGGTTACTGTGGTGAAATGGGAATCGCTGAATCTGTATTACTCACACAGATAAGATATAATACTCGGGAAATCAATTGCAATAAGCCCGAAACCCTTGGACTTTGACCCAGTAACTAAGGGTTAACATACTAAGTGGGTTCAATGCCACATGGTGTCTTAGTTATGGACTGCTAAGAAATTCAAAACTAGGATGGAACAGGTGTCAGTGTTTACAGTCTCTCAATAGTTCTCTTACTGATGGTAGTCTGTTATGCAAAATCCTTTGCAACAAGTTTTTTAAGAATCAGGTTCTTCAGCTAAAATGGTTGACCACTTGATTTGTAATTCATAGTTCTTTCATTCATATATGATTGAGACATAAGTATTTTCAACTTCACTGACCACCTTCATCATAAACACTGCATTTCACCAAACAAAAGGTCAAGCAGTTTGACACAGCATAACAAAGGGAAATCACAAGTATCGGTTAACAACGACTGATACCCGTTGTACAAGACGTGACTTTCGTGCCTTAGTGACATAGTGGATAAAGGTTTGGCACTTGAGGCGATGGGTACTGGGTTCCAGTCTCAGTGTGGACAAAACCACTCACTGGGGTGCAAGTGCGTTCAGTTGATACGTCCTGAATAGGACGAAACAAGCCTCCTACATCCACTCCTAGCCACCAAGTAGGCTATGAAACACATCCTAGTCCAACTATATCACTAGTCATTACTTCATGAAATTCCGATTATTTTAGAGCATATTCGCTCATCTAAAAAGCTGTGTAACTATCCACAGAAAATTAAATCTACTAGTCAATAAGAATAGATAGCTAGTTAGTTAGTTAGTCGATTCTGACTTTGAAGTCAATTAATCTCAGTCAGTTGTAATAAAAGAACAGCAATCAACTCTTGCTTCTCGTTATTTGTCAGATTTTAGTTCTGAAGAAAAATGTGG